TCTTGAATTGTACGAACGATGTCCGAATAATAGAGACTCGTTTAAGCTACAGTTACTTACTGTTTCCCAGACTCTCCCTCTTGCTTACGATGTGTCCTTGACAGTCTTAAATTCACTAACACTTATTTCCTCAAAGCATTCCAGAAAGCCCAGCTGTCACTTTCTGAATATAAGTAAAGTTTCTTTGCATTTTCTATTTTCCTTAAAACTTCCTAGTTGCTCACATGTTGAGTCCATGGTATTCTTAGCATTCAACGGTATGAATGTGTGTAAATCGATTCAAGTTCATTCATCAGGCGATTGTCTATCATATATGAGATTTGATAGGGCAATTCGTCGTGGTGCAATGATTAGCAAGCTTCTTTCGTTAAATCACTTACGACTGAATAGTGAGTTTGATCCTTACTGGGTGTCCCATAATTCCGGCCTTGTCCATTCGAAGATATGTCCAGAATATCATCATGTAGGAGAATAAATATTGCATAACAGTTCATCTTTCTTTCTTTGTTTCTAAAGACACTCGACAGTAGAACTACATCTCTGTCGCTTCAAGTCTCTTCTTCATCTGTGAGGAGATTGTCCAGCATTCACTGCCATATAGGAGATTAGATATTACATAGCCGTCCAACACTCTTTTCTTTGTTTCGAAGGACACTCGTCGGTAGAACCACATCTCTGTCGCTTCAAGTTTCTTCTTCATCTGTGAGGAGATTTTCCAGCATTCACTGCCATATAGGAGATTAGATATTACATAACCGTCCAACACTCTTTTCTTTGTTTCTAAGGACACTCGTCAGTAGAACCACATCTCTGTCGCTTCAAGTCTCTTCTTCATCTGTGAGGAGATTTTCCAGCATTCACTGCCATATAGGAGATTAGATATTACATAGCCGTTCAACACTCTTTTCTTTGTTTCTAAGGACACTCGTCAGTAGAACCACATCTCTGTCACTTCAAGTCTCTTCTTCATCTGTGAGGAGATTGTCCAGCATTCACTGCCATATAGGAGATTAAATATTACATAGCCGTTCAACACACTTTTCTTTATTTCTAAGGACACTCATCAGTAGAACCACATCTCTGTCTCTTCTAGTCTCTTCTTCATCTGTGAGGAGATTGTCCAGTATTTACTGCCATATAGGAGATTAGATATTACATAGCCGTCCAACACTCTTTTCTTTGTTTCGAAGGACACTCGTCAGTAGAACCACATCTCTGTCGCTTCAAGTCTCTTCTTCATCTGTGAGGAGATTGTCCAGCATTCACTGCCATATAGGAGATTAGATATTACATCGCCGTCCAACACTCTTTTCTTTGTTTCTAAGGACACTCGTCAGTAGAACCACATCTCTGTCGCTTCAAGTCTTTTCTTCATCTGTGAGGAGATTGTCCAGCTTTCACTGCCATATAGGAGATTAGATATTACATAGCCGTCCAACACTCTTTTCTTTGTTTCTAAGGACACTCGTCAGTAGAACCACATCTCTGTAGCTTCAAGTCTCTTCTTCATCTGTGAGGAGATTGCCCTGCATTCACTGCTATATAGGAGATTAGATATTATATAGCCGTCCAATACTCTTTTCTTTGTTTCTAAAGACACTCGTCAGTAGAACCACATCTCTGTCGCTTCAAGTCTCTTCTTCATCTGTGAGGAGATTGTCCAGCATTCACTGCCATATAGGAGATTAGATATTACATAGCCGTCCAACACTCTTTTCTTTGTTTCTAAGGACACTCGTCAGTAGAACCACATCTCTGTCGCTTCAAGTCTTTTCTTCATCTGTGAGGAGATTGTCCAGCTTTCACTGCCATATAGGAGATTAGATATTACATAGCCGTCCAACACTCTTTTCTTTGTTTCTAAGGACACTCGTCAGTAGAACCACATCTCTGTCGCTTCAAGTCTCTTCTTCATCTGTGAGGAGATTGTCTAGTATTCACTGCCATATAGTAGATTAGATATTACATAACTGTCCAACACGATTTTGTTCTTTAATTTATGTCTCTTCTTCATTTGTTAGAAAATAAAAATACATAGTTTATAAAGTTTAGTTTTCCATTTTGATACTGTATTGGTTAAATATATTACCTATTAACTTTCCCGTGAAACTAAGTCTAAAATATTAGTGTTTAAAAGTTTAAAACTAAACTATTACCTAAAATCTAACCAAGTGATCTAATATAACTTTATTTTCTAACTCCCGTCTTGATAGACATCTGGGAAGTGTTTTGACAGAGGTCGGTAAGTGCAACGCTGAGATCCGAAGACGTATTGGGATGGCCAAAGAGACATTCTAAAAGCTAGGCTGTGTATTGCGAAACAGGAGGATCTCTGATAACAAAGAAAAGAGTGCTGAACTGCTACATAAAATCTGTCCTCCTTTAGAGCAGTGAATGTTGGACAGTCTCTTCAACGATAAAGAAAAGACTTGAGGCAACGGAGGTTTGTTTCTACAGAAGGATGCTAAGGATATCATGGAACGAAAGTGTGAGCAACGGTGAGGTTTTGGAGAGGATGCAAACAAGGAGGAAGTTTATACTTAACATCAGGAAAAAGCAGCTGAAATTTCCAGGTCACGCAATGAGAAAAAGATGGCTTGGAGAATCTGATATTCACAGGTCGAATAGAGTGAAAGAGAGACAAGGGAAAACAACACATGACATACCTAGCGGTCTTAAGCGAGTGGCGGACAGAACGTGGCCTGAGGGAAAATGGGTCAAAATTTATTGAGAGCTCCAATGGATAGGTGGAAGTGGAGGGCCATGATCACCTACGTCCTGATGGAACACGGCACATGAAAGAATTAGGGGTCACTATATTTACAGCATAATTAAGGGCACTGTACAACAAGATACCCAGTGCAAGGATCTTTTAGGCCCACCTCGAATCTATGATACGGGTCTCCCCATTCTACCACATCTCAATTGTCATAAGGTAGTATTCATATGAAACAGAACTTTTATTGTAACCTAATTATGTACAGTAATGGATCATATGCAATATAGGTGGGGAATTCAACTAGAATATTTGAAAATAAATACAATGCATCTGTTAGAGACGTGTTTTAATAGATCTTTCCATCTTAAATAAATCAACAATATATTGCAGAAATTGTAACGATCTATATTTACAGCAGCTGTGGCAAAAGTGGGTGTGTCTATAGGAAGATAACGGCGTCCATTACTCTTCAGATTGGCTTTATGTTGTCTCCCAGTCTCATAAATCATCTTTCACCATTGTTGAGTAATTTCAAATTTCTGTATCACATTTTACGCCATCTGTTATTCTGATGTCTACATTTGTTATTCTGTTATTCTGATGTCAACATATTTGTTATTCTGTTATTCTGATGTCTACATATGTGTTGTTGATACGCGTACCAGTTGCTTCATTTACGAGAAAAATTGTCCAGCTTCCATTGCCATAATTATCAATAAAGTTATCGGCACACTTGTATTAGATATTCTTTTTTACGCATATTTTGCATTTTTTTTTTCAGGGATTTGGGGAAGTGCCTTTTGCATTTTATTCAAACGATTATTTGAGGACAACAGGAAACTGGATCCGGTAGAAATGATTCGTCAGAATATATGTAAGTAAACTAATGTCGGTAAAATTAAATTTAATTTATTGAAAATAATTACAAATAATGTGCCGACTTTCTTGCAGAAACAAGTAACCGAATTAACTCGCATTTTCTCTTATTATTTATATTATAGTACAATAGTATCCCTGACAACCAGACTAAGAAGGCCTTCCGTATATGAGGGATTCCGGATATGAGGGATTCCGGATATGAGGAATTCGTTACAAAGTCCGGATATGAGAGGTTATATTTAGATTAAAATAAAAGAACTGAAATCAGGTTTAACATTTATTTTCAATGTTTTATAGTAAACAAATTAAGCTAATGAAGAGTGAAATATAACAAAACTGATTTTACGAAAAAAAAGAAATAAATTATGTAATGTTAATGAAAATTCATTAAATTAATTATGCCACAGATGCAAAGCAAATTATGTAACGAGGAATTTTTAATCTCTGTTGCATGAGGATTCTTTCTCTTCTAATGCCATTCTCAACTTTTTCTGCATTTCGTTTTGCTTTTCTGTGTGTGTTATTGCAATCATCATAGCTGAATGCTGGCTTTCTTTCCATAAAACTGACAACCTTTTCAATAGCTTTTTCAATTTCAGTTCAGGTTGCATCACAAACATGCTTTTTATTTCCTTGTTCATTGTGACAGTGTGAACGTTGGAGAATAGATTCTTTGGAAGAATTTATATCATACAATGTTAACCTTCCTATGTTGAACTCAGCCATTAGTTACGGTGAACTTTCACAAGCGTCTAGTTTATTTAAAAAATCCTCTTTTTGCGATTACTCCAAAGTTGTTCTTTTCCTCATATTCCCATCATCTTTTGCGCCAATAAAAGCCACTAGGGTGAAATAAGCATAAGCAATTATTCAAAGTAAATTTCCTGAAAAACAGAAATTTCAAATCAGTTACATATCACCCAAATAGTTCAAATATACACATCAAAATCGTGTCCGGATATGCGGGATTCAGAATACGAGGCATATGTGGAGTTCCGGATATGAGGGATTCTACTGTAGTACTTTGTCCAATACAGTGAATTGCTAAACAAAATAAAACATTTATATGAGAACATCAATTATACTCTTAAATAATCTCATCAGATCTGGACTCTCACACGGAAGTCACCCTTAACATCAAACTAGTGAAATGTCTAAATAATCAAATATATATATATATATATGTGTGTGTCTTTAAGTGAATTAACTCTCTAATCTTGAAGAAGGCAATTTTCCATTATAGATTCGCGCTACATATTCACAAAGAAATAACTTTGCCAAATAACAAAATATATTACTTGCAATCAAGAAGTTAACTCCCAACATGCGCTTAAACGAAAGGGGAGGAAGGAAACTCCTATCTGTCGTAGAAAGAGCTATAACAGTTAGTGAACATGGGACGTCTATTTTCTTTGAACACTGTTTAAGGAAATATTATAAACTACAACTGACAGTAACTGTCTGATCAACGAATGTTCTCTGTATAGAAACGGGTAATTTCTCCGTTAGAATTGCCATTTATTTCTTTGGGTGTCAGTTGCTTTTTTTTATCACAACTGCTTAGATTGTCATTCTATGAACCTTAGTTAAGAGCAAGTAGTAAATAAAAAATGCAAACTTATTTCACTTTTATCTCAGAGAACACTCATTAAGATATTAATATATTCATGCAAAAGCTGATTTTATCAACTGAGATCTTACCTGGCTGAGAAATATATCAAAAATAAATAATGCTTGACAAGGCTTCATCTTATAAAAATTCCACATAATATTCGTACTAATACTACTACTAGTAGTGGAAATAAAGCGAATGAAATGAAGATGAAAGACATAATGATTGACAAGGCTTCATCTAATAAAAATTCCAGATAATATTACTACTAATCATACAGCCAATAAAAATAAAGCGATTGAAATTAAGGTGATAAAAATACTAGTCAAAAATGAATAATGCTTGACAATTCTTCATTTAATAAAAGGTCAAGATATCACGACTATTAATAATAATACTAGAAATAAAGAAAGTGTCATTAAAATAAAAGAAATACTAGTTAAAAATGAATACTTCTTGACAATTCTTCATCTAATACAGATGATATTACTACTACTATTAGTGGAAATAATGCAATTGAAATGAAGATGACGTCCTAGATAAGATGATAAACTACATTCAACATCAAGGCCTCTGATCAGGAGGCTTTGAGAAATGTCGATTTATATCTTAATTGCTGGTGTTCCGAAGTCCACCCTGAATTGGGGTTGTAGCACCAGTTAGGGTCCCAGCTATGGGCAAATAGTTAACCCCTAAACTAGGGTCAAAACACTATGAAAGTGTAAAGATAGGTTTTAATATAGCAATATGTTTTTGTAAAAAAATTACCAGCAATAAATTTTTGAAGAAAAATTATTACCAGCAATGCATTATTACCAGCAATACATTTTTGAAAAGCATATTACCAACAATACATTTTTGAAAAACATATTACCAGCAATACATCTTTGAAAATCATATTACCAGCAATACATTTTTGAAAAGCATATTACCAGCAATACATTTTTGAAAAGCATATTATCAGTAATACATTTTTGAAAAACATATTACCAGCAATACATTTTTGAAGAATAAATATTACCAGCAATACATTTTTGGAAAAAGATATTACTAGCAATAAAAATCTTGTAGGCATTGAATAACCCCTTGAGGTTGATATGCTGTAAAACAAAACAAAACAAACAAAAATGAACATGAAAGAAATTCTATTTAAAAATCAATAATGTTTGACAATTCTTCATCTAATATAAATTCCAGATGATATTTTTACTACTAATACTATTAGTGGACATAAAACAATTTAAATGAAGATGAAAGAAATTCTAGTTAAAAATGAATAATGTTTGACAATGTTTATTCTAATAATAAAATTCCAGATAATATTACTACTAATAATACTACCAATAGAAATAAGGCGTTTGAAATAAAGATGAAAGAAATCTTACTACAAAATGAACACTGATCCAATGTTTACTTGTAGCCCCAAGTATAATAAAAAAAAAGCTGTTTTCAACATTAAATAACGAAATAAGAATTGATAAATCGTAAAATCCACGAAGCAACCAACTAAAATTCATTTATCCGAAACCGACATAGGTCATTCATAGAAATGTTTTATTAAATTGATCGTGGCTCGGATTGAGAAATAAGAGAGCCGATTTCGAATTCCAGTCGAAGCAATTACATTCACTTACGTGGTAATGCCCTTGAGAAAGGTATTAATCCTCCTTTTCTCCTCTCAGCTATGGGTAAATTGCAAGACAGACCGGGTTCTATAGCCTGGCAACCTACTGCGGGAAAAAAATCTGCCCCTTCTAAGCGTGTATTACGCATGGTACATAACAGACTGAATTTTATCTATAACATTCTAGTTGGAGTTATCGCAAAAAGTGGAAATTTTAAACAGACTAGACGCTGGTGAAAGTTCATTGTAATTAATGGCTGAGTTCAACATAGGAAAGTCAACATTGTATGATATAAAATCTTCCAAAGAAATTATTCTCCAACGTTCACACTGTCGCAATGAACAAGGAAATAAAAAATATATAAAATAACGCACGCTGAGTTAAAAAGTGTCTTAGGTTTAAAAAAAAATCAAGAACAAAAGCCAAACGAAAATGCGAAAAAGTTGAGAATGACATTAGAAGAGAGTGAATCATCATGCAACGACGATTAAAAAATCCTCGTTACATTATTTGTTTTGCATACGTGGCATACTTAATTTAAGGAATTTTCATTAATATTACATAATTTTATTTCTTTTTCCTTAAAATAAATTCCGTTATATTTCACTCACCATTAGCTTATTTTGTTTGCTGTAAAACATTGAAAATAAATGCTAAACCTGATTTCAGTTCTTTTATTTTAATCTAAATATAACCCCTCATATCCGGACTTTGTAACCAATTCCTCATATCGTGAAGGCTTTCTTAGTCAGTTGCTTAATATTCGCCGAGATCAGAAGATAAAATACACTTATACACTGTACATACATTTTCAGCTGATGAACTGGATAAGAAGCAGGAATGTTCGTCAACGGATAGCAGTGATTCGGAAGAGGAAACTGAAGATAACGACAGCCGGCGGGAATCGAACGATTCCATACAGAGTGACGTCACTATGATGTCAGATGGCAGTTGTGTGTCTGACCTGGACAAGGACCTGGACGCAGTTGACAACTTTCAACCAAATTTTCGTCGAAACTCACAAGACAACATTTTGGATGTAGAAACAGCTCGGCGGAATGCGTTCGAGAGCCTGAATAAGTGTATTGCACCAGACGACACGCTAAATGATCTCTATGAGTACAATGATGACGACGACGAGGAGGAGGAGGAGAAGAAAGTGTTAAATTGTCGTCTGGTCAGAAAAAATGGACGACGATATCGACATAAATTAGACAGATCAGAAGTAAAACGAAAACAGTCGACAAAGAAAGAATATGGATTCTGGAGAAAAGTCATGATAGGTCTCGTTGAAAAGTAAGTATTTTTCATCTCGATGGGTTTTCTTTTTTAATTTAAGTCACCTGTAGGTAATCTGCGGCCCAACTTGCTTTCTCAATAGCACGCATAATTTCATATGGAAAATATCGTTTATTAAAATTTTGTTGTTTTCATTTCGTTCTCACTTGTTCGCTCACATATTCTCTCATACATAACCAAATACGTAAACAATGATTACATATATTCTTTCTTGAATTTTTTTTAACCTTTTGTTGATGATAACTGCTTCCTCAGTTTAAACCATTGGCGATTTTCACTATGGAAAATTATACACGTGAACTTGATTTGTTGTAAAAAGAGAAAACTTTCATAATATTTATTTTTTCCTCTGGATAAAAAATATACTTTAAAAAAAATGAATGTTTATTTTCAAATGAATAAATTGAAAACAATTAGCACGCAGCTATAGAGTTGAAAGCTAAACATTTGCAGCATTTAATTTAAGAATAACGAAACTTGCATTCTAGGGTCTAAGGGTCAGGAGAATTAAAAAACAAGGAAACTTACATTCGAAAGTCTAAGGGCCAAGAGAAATAAAAAATTTAAAAAAATATTTTCAAAATCTCTTGTGTGCCGTGTCTCTTTACAACGTCGGGATCATGATTCTCTACAACTTCCTAACATTTGTAGCTCTAAGCTGATCATGGGAAAACTGCGGGCCAATTGACTTTCTGAATGGCACGCATATTTTCATACTGAAAATAACGTTTATTGAAATTTTGTCCTTTTCATTTCGTTCTCACTTATTCACTCGCACATTCTCTCGTCTATAACCAAACACAGAAACAATTATTAGATAATAATGTTTCTTGAATCTTTTTTAACATTGGCGATTTTCACTAAGGTAGGTCATACGCGTAAACTTGATTTACTGTAAAAACAGGAAACGTTCATAATATTTTTGACAGCAATACTGGCTAAATGACAGCAATACTGGCAAATAGCGCGTCCCGCGCTATGATGAATTATATCTCATGCGGCCCACTACTCGAAAAAGGGTGTCCATACTTACTTTGAGTCATAGGAACGTTGTCATTATTACCGTCGTTCAAGCATAAATTCTGTGGACACCCGTTTATTACTGCGGTTAAACAAGATACTCAGGGCCGGTGCAAGGATCTTGTAGGCCCAACTCGAATCTATGATACAGGTTTCCCCACTCTGTTACATCGCAATAGTCATAAGGTAGTATTCATATGAAACAGGACTTTTATTGTTGCCTAATTATGTACAATAATCGATCATATGTAATATAGGGGAACAATTCAACTAGAAAAATTGAAAAATAAATTCAATGTGTCTAAATGTAAATTAGAGACATGTCATAATAGATAATTCCATCTTAAATAATTAGAGACACATCATAATAGATTATTCTATCTTAAATAATTAGAGACATGTCATAAGAGATCATTCCATCTTAAATAAATAGAGACGCGTCATAATAGATCATTCTGTCTTAAATAATTAGAGACACGTCATAATAGATCATTGCATCTTAAATAATTAGAGACACGTCATAATAGATCATTCCATCTTAAATAATTAGAGACACGCCATAATAGATCATTCCATCTAAAATAAATCAACAATGTTTTGCGGTAATTTTTGACTTCTACTGAAGTTGAAGAATTATAACACATTCAACATTATGAATAAAAGCAAAATGAATTTTATATAGTGCTTTTTTTTATACAGTGCTTTTTTTAGACTTAGCGCGTGCAAAACAAATTTACACATTTGGACGAACCAAAAAATGATGATACCCCCACACTTCTATTCTTCTACATCTCAATTTTCATAAAGTGGTATTCATATAATATACAAATATTTATTGTAACTACATAATGATCATATACAATGTTTTTAATTTTTTTAAAACCTTTTGTTGATGATAGCTGTCATCAATGTGTGTGTGTGTGTGTGTGTGTGTGTAACGAATGCACGGCCGACGGATTTGCACCAAAATTTACATGCACATGCTCCAAGTTAGCAGGAAGGCCAAGACCGACTTTGCATTTCCTAACTCCCATCGATAGTGGAAATAATAGATTTTTTTCATGCTTCTACGGCAGTTTTCATGTAGTTTGCGGACATTTTGTACTGCCAGAGTGTGAGCCTTTAGCTGGCTGCCACAAATAGGCAGGAATATTCTATTGGCCAGCGTAAGAGCCAACAGCTGACTGACACGAATGTTAACTAGCATGCTAGCATGCAAAAAAATCGATAGCTGCATTCGTCACGTGGGAAAAATTTAAATCTGCATGGCACTTTACTCCAATTGGCTCATTCGCTTGCTTAAACTTAACGTTGATTCTGATTCCGCAGAACTGGGTTGGCTGTGAAAAAGTATTTGTTTTTGTTCTTTCATTCGGTTTTTCCAGTTACGAGTCCTTTTTTAAAGCTGATCGTTTTGTGTTCATTTTGTTTAGTTCTTTTTTCGTAACAGATTTAAGGTTTAGTATAGAGCTTAGAAAAAATTCGCAGTGTAAGCATTATCAGCACGGCAAAGGGCATTCCTTTAAAGGCAAGGAAAGGCAAAAATATCTTAAGTCAAGTGATAGCGATTGCTGTATGAGTCGTACGATTTTTTGAATCAAGCACGGGCAACGCCGGGCCATGCTGCTAGCATACAATATAGGTGAACAATTCAACTAGAAAAATTGAAAATAAATCCGATGTATCTAAATAAAAACTAGAGACATGTCATAATAGATCTTTTCATCTGAAATAAATCAATGGTTTGCGGTAATTATTAAGATCAGATTTTTCTTGTTAAAAAGTTGAATAATTTTAACACAATCAACATTATGGATAAAAATAGTAAATTTTATATAGTGCTTTTTTCGAGACTTAGCGTGTGCAAAACAAATTCACGCATTTGTACGAACAAAAAAATGATATGATACGCACCCCCACACTCTTTCTTTTTTTCTTTTTATGTGCCATATCCTTTCAGGACGTAGACGATCATGGCTCTCCACCTCCCTCTATCCCTTGCAGGTCTCAGCAAGCTCCTTTTCTCTACTCCCTACCCCAGACCACGTTCTGTCAACAACTTTCTTAAGGCCGCTTGGTATATCATGCGTTGTTTTCCCTTGTCTCTCTTTCCCTCTATTCGACCCGTGAGTATCAGATTCTCCAAACCCTCCTTCCTCATTATGTATCCCAGAAACTTCAGCTGCCTCTTCCTGATGTTAAGTATAAGCCTCCACTCTACTACATCGCAATAGTGGAGTAATGGACAGCGGTTTGAATTGAGGAATCGGAGAGCCGAGTTCGAATTCGAGTCGAATCCATTACATTCACTAATACCCTTGGAAAAGGTGTCAATCTTTTTTTTTCCCACCAGCTATAGGTAAATAGCAGGACAGGTCGGGTTCTATAGCCTTGGATGGCAACTGGTCTACCGCAGAAAGAAATGGCAACCTACTGCGGGAAAAATCTGCCTCGTCAGTCATGTAGCGAAAGATACATGATTGCCTAAGCGTGTCTCACACATGGCACATAACTGACTGACTTATGTGCTAATACTCTTGGGAAAGGTATGAATCCTCTTCTTCTCCCCCCCAGCTATGGGTAAATAACAGAATAGACCGGGTTCTATAGCCTTGGATGCCAACTGGTCAACCACAGAAAGAAATAGCAACCTACTGCGGGAAAAAATCGGCCTCGTCAGTCATGTATCGAAAGATACATTATCGCCTAAGCGTGTATCACACATGGCATTAAAAAATCGATCATATGCAGTATAGGTAGGATATTCAATGGGAATAATTGAATATAAATACAAAGCATCCATTAGAGACATGCTTTAATAGATATTCCACCTTTAATAAATAAACAACTTATTGCAGAAATTCTAACGATCGGGTTGAATTTTTTTCTTGTTAAAAATGTTGAATAATTTTAACACATTCAACGTTATGAATAAATAGTAGTGAATTTTTTTATAGTATTTTTTTCTTTTCAGAGTATGAGCAAAACAAAAAAACAAAGACCCCAAATGACGTCAATATATTTCATTCTTTAAAAGTTGTCCGTTTAACTTGTAACATATATAAATAGAGGTAGGGGCAACTCAAGGTAGTGTAATGGTTAGCAAGCTTGTTTCGCTAGAACATTTATGACTGAATAGTGAGTTCCCCATACTTTCGGCCTTGTGCCACATCTGAGCTAAGCTTGGAAAATCACTATATAAATGTAGGTAGAAAATATTAAATGTCGATAAGAGAGCGAGGGTCACCAAGTACAGCCTAGGGACGTCAATCAAGCCTGTCTCGCCGCCCCCGGTCAGGGAGTGGTACGCACTGGGCCTCCATATATAGATTCACGTTCAAAATGAGAGAAGATTTGTTGTGGATGTATGTGTGTGTAATCGGATGTTTATGCATTTACACACAGTTTTCATCCGATTTTGATGATTTATTTTGTTTGATATATATATATATATATATATATATATATATATATATATATATATATATATAGACAGACAGACATTTTTATGTTTATACATTCTTTTATAGATACAAATATTTAAGTAAATGCTCTGTTTATAATAAAAAAGTATTAAACAACATTTACCGGCCTGAATGTCCGAGAAATTTTCACAGAAAATATTCGTCCTCTGACAGGATTCGAACCTGTATCCTATACGGAACCATCATTTAATTTGACGTTACGGACCGATTTGATATAAATATATATATATATATATATATATATATATATATATATATATATATATATATATATATATATATATATATATATATATATATATATATATATATATATATATATATATATATATATATATATATATATATATATATATATTCAGTTTTTGTTTGTTAGATAATTCTTCAGTGTCGGCTTTGAGTCCAAATTGTTGGCGATAATGGCTCTCCACTACTTCCTGCCCATTATAACTCAGCAACGTTTTACTAATTACTATCTGTTCTTGGATATATACCTTTCATAAAAACTTTAATAAAAATAAATAGTTTAAATTATTACGATAATATTATTTATTATTATACAGTCCCTTTTCCGGCCCCCCCCGTTCAAATTGTTAACCCCCATTTGGGGATGTACCTCAATTGCACCCAATTGTTGTTACTAATATTGATTTTCGGGTGGGCTGACTTTAAGCTTAAACTGCTCCAAATAAACGGCAAAAATTCCCAGTCATGTGAAAGGACCCCTTGGAAGTGCTGATGAGCAAAGACAACTTCCGCCACCGGTGGTGATTTGATATGCTACAGATGTGACAAGAAATGCAGTCGTTTACACAACCGTTCAGTACAGTGTTGTTGGGAGATTAGCTGAAAGACTGGACATACTCGCATCGTGAGTCAACAGCCCCTATATACATAAATATATGTATGTGTATATATATATATATATATATATATATATATATATATATATATATATATGTATTGTATGTGTATATTTATGTGTATATGTATATTTATGTATATGTATATATTTATGTGTATATTTATATATTTATACGTGTATATATATATATATATATATATATATATAATGTATTCAAAAATTATAACATATGTCATAAAATCACTACAAAAATAGCCATTTTGTTTCAACACATGTGGAGTCTTATCAAGTGATGATGTTGAAGATAAAATAAATGGTTTTAAAAGTTTCAGATTAATTAACGTGGAGTCTTCTCAAGTGATGGTGTTGAATTTAGAACCTGTTGATTCTACATTCAACAACATCACTTGAGAAGACACCAGAAGTGTGGATACAAAATGGCTATTTTTGTAATGATTTTATAACATATTTGTGTCATAATTTTCAAATAAATTATATTTGCTCTAGTCCTTATTGAGCACTATTTTAAGAATAGGATTATTGGTTATTGGAATTTGTTCCGTATACGCTAATCCTATACTTGATATATATATATATATATATATATATATATATATGTGTGTATATATTTATATATATATATATATATATATATATATATATATATATATATATATATAGAGAGAGAGAGAGAGAGAGAGTAATAAATCCGTTGTATATAATTCCAATACGAGCACAGTCCATCTATGCATGTCGAATAAGACCGACGTTTTCGCGTCGGCTGAAATACTCTATTCCCCATATGAGTTAATTTTGGATATATATAGAGAGAGAGAGAGAGAGTGTGTGGGAGATATATATATATATATATAAACCTAGCTGTACGGTTGTATTGAGCTCTTTAGTTATATATATATATATATATATATATATATATATATATATATATATAGAGAGAGAGAGAGAGAGAGATAGATAGATAGATAGATCGATCGATCGATAGATATAGATAAACCTAGCTCTACGATTGTATTGAGCTCTTTTTAGATAGTTGTTTACTCGTGTCGGGGTTTTTTCTTTGGGCTTTGAACCTGTATCTGTGCGATTTTTTCGACAGACTTTCATGTTCTGGCTCTTTCTTTTTTAAACCTTTTTTTTCCTTCGAGATTGATTTGATTATTGAGTCAAAAAATTCGAAGGTTTTTTAAAATATATATATATATATATATATATATATATATATATATATATATATATATATATATATATAAAAAAATTATAATATAATATAATGTTATAAAAAAACTAAAAAATAAAATCACATTTTTGTTTCAACACCCTCGGTGTCTTATCAAGTGATGATGTTGAAGATAAAATAAATGGTTTTAAAAGTTCCAGATTAATTAACGATCCTACACTAGGAGGAAACATTGTTATAAAAGCTAGAATAACCAATCAAAAACCAAGTATAGAAAGATTCAAAAGCTTGACAACGAAATCATGTTATAATAGCTATTCAGATCTTTAAAATACGGGTAATATTAAAAAATAATTTATACTAACCAATAATTATAAAATTATATGATAAAATTTAATATTAAAAATTAAAAACTGGCAATTTTAAAATCCAAATTTAATCACTATTAAGTTTAAAAACTACAAAATTATTGAGAAAAGAAAAAATACATATGTTATTCAATTTATTTCTTCGTTGTAATTACGTTCGACAAGACGCTACGAATATATCCGGTCATTTGACAATACATGTATATATATTTTTTATTCTAAAGTGTGTGAATGTGGTCTTAAACTCACGCGCAAAACAACAAAAACACAATCAGATTATAATACATAAGCACCCAGACATATTTAGATATATATATATACACACACACAAAAAGAAAAAAAAAGCGACGAGACAGGAACATCACTACAATCCTTTATGAAAAAAGGGAAACGGGGAAACCAACACCTATACACACACACACAATTAAATGTGAATTCACTCTACATACACATAGACATCGATAGATACACGTACACACATCCACAGACAATGACCTAGACAATCAGATACCACAACCAATAAATATTTAAGACTTAAAGTATCATTAAATAAATGCTAACCACTTATTAAATTATAACTTAACGGAGCAAATATACAAAGATAAAAATGGTTAAAAATAATATTATTTAATATATTAAAACGAAAATTTCAAAACCACAAATATCAATAAAAATATATTTTAATCATATAAGTTGATAATAGTTTCATTATATATATATATATATATATATATATATATATATATAACCATCTCGAAATGCAGTTTATAACCTCAAAGGAGTCTATATCAAGGCCGATTGGAAAACTATATAGCCCATTGCCTATAATGGAACTCCTTATCTAAGTACCCTTCATGCTAGGCCACTATTTCATACGCCTAACATTATATCGCCTGTTATCCAGAACAGCTACAATTTTACTTTTCTTCTTAAAAAGTCAATTGATAATTTGTAAATAATTTTAATTTATTTGAATTAAAATTTTATTTATTACAATATCGCATAAAAAAACATTGTTCTGAAAAAGTTTACCAATCCTAATTTAAATATGTTCCTGACAGCTTTTAAAAATCTTTCAAGCACTAAAATTTTAATTTATTTTGGTAAATGGCTGACTGCTTCTTTTTGAGCACTCCTAAATACGTGTTCACGTGTTTCCTTAGTCATATTTCGTCTGCCGTCAACTGTCACAGAGACAATCTGTGACATACAATGTAACTATGCTTAGCAGTTTGTATGTACTTGACCATCCACCCCCACTGAGTCAGGTTGTGACACAAGGTCGATATTTATCATAGGGGCCCGAGTGTCTTCACTCGGGCCACTGGTCTTAGCTTGTCAGAGCTTGTCTAAGCTAGTCATTGCTGGTCTTGGTTGACCATAGCTGGTCCATGCTGGCCAGAGTCGGTCCATGCTAGTCATAGCCGTGATACTATCTCTGCGCCAGGTATGTATGAATGTGTTACAAACTACACGAGAGAGTAGTTTACGCAAACTATGTTTTAGCATTTAATATTGGGACGAGATAGCTGGATCAGTACTTGAAAAATGCCAGCATGTTCTAGCTGTAGGTCCCGATGACTTTGGTTCGAACAAATTTGCTAGAACAATTACGACTGAGCAGTGAGTTCGATCTTTGTGCCACATCTAAACTACGCTTGGAAAATCACTGGGACATCTCGGCGTGGTGTAGTGGTTAGCAAGCTTGTCTCGCTAGAACAATTACGTCTGAGCAGTGAGTTCGATCCTCACTGGGTGCCCCCTACTTTCGGCCTTGTGCCATATATAAACTACGCTTGGAAAATCACTGGGGCACCTCAGCGTGTTGTAATGGTTAGCAAGCTTGTCTCGCTAGAACAATTACGACTGAGTAGTGAGTTCAATCCTCACTGGGTGCTCCATACTTTCGGCCTTGTGCCACATCTGAGCTACGCTTGGAAAATCACTGTAACCTCTAACGAGTCTATATCAAGGCCGATTTGCAAAACCTCTACCCACTGTCTTCATTTACTCAAATACCCACTAAAGAAAACTTTTTAACTCGTAAGTATTTTTTACAATAATGTTTACTTTGGATATGGTCCAAGAGTCACTCGAGATAGAGGATTACAGAGTTAAAGGCACAGTTTATAGTGATATACGGGGAAGATAAGGATTAACTCTAGAATTGAACTCGAGTAACAATCGAGAAAGCATCTTCTTGGGAGTCGGTTCCACAAAGCAGCGGTTTGTGTGGAATTGAATGAATCTCCTTATCTAAGGACCCTTCGTGCTTGGAAATTATATCATACCTAGGTTTCCTGGTTAGAAAGCAATCTTTCTAAGTTTTAGATATATAAATCTAGATAAGGAAAACATACAATTGTTTCTGCTGTTGTTGCTACTGTTAAATCCTTTGCGATGAGAACCCACGAGGGCTCCCTTGTTCCTTCAGTCCCTACAGACTTGGCACAGCGTTATCCTCCAGATTAATCTGCTGAAGGTCATGGTAGACGGCGTCCTACCAGCAGTTGCGTGGTTTGCTGTGCGGCTGTCTGCACACCTTACTCTCTTTTCTATCCAAAAAATATACTCGAAACCGACCCAGGTAGTTCCTAAGGCGGTTCCAGGTATGTATTTATAAGAAAAGGAGATAAATCCATCCATCAATTATTTAATTTATTTTATTTATTTATTGTTTTTAATTTCAGTAAAAACATTGAAATCTTGAGTACGCGGGCTGGACGTGCTGGCATTGTTCACAACCCCATGCGTGGATTATCGTTGCAAAAACTCTACCCACTGTCTCCATTTACTCAAATACCCCCTAAAGAACACTTTTCAACTCGTAAGTATTTTTTTTACAATAATCTTCACTTTGGATATGGCCCAAGAGTCACTCGAGATAGAGAATTACAGAGTAAAAGGCACAGTTTATAGTGATATACGAGGAAGATAAGCGTTAACCCTAGAATTGAACATTAAGAGAGTAACAATCAGGAAAGCATCCTCTTGAGAGTCGGTTTCGCAAAGCAGTGAAATCTCACTAATGGAATATTAAGGCTGGTTCGCTACAATGTACTTTGCTTGACAGATCTTAGCTGTAAAGTTTAGAACTGGTGGGGAACTAATGAATGGAGGTTGTTTGAACCTTTTTCCATAGAAATAGCGATGGATCAGTGAGAGGCTTTCGTCTTTGTGGAAAAGAGGGTGTAAGGTGGAAAATAATCCATCAGCCGCAAGGACGAGGTGACGCATTTGAACTCTATCGAGACTGGAATGTGAAGATTGAGTAGCGCCTGTCTATGTATGGCAGCAGTACTCCATTGTCGGACTGTTGTAAAAATCTATTTATATTTATTATATTTTAATGAAAAAAGAATTCCTCACTACTACTACTACTAATAATAATAATTGTTGTGGCTTTGTTGGGGTTAGAACTAAAAACATTAAGAGAGGAATTGAGTTAAACAAATATATTAACAGAAACAGTGATACAAACATATACAAACGTGAGTGTTACAGCTTGAATGTTCGGTCCTACTCTCAGAGCTGACTGCTGGAAACTTTCTCTCTAAAAGGCAGTACCTGCTCCTATTTATAGCTGGGAAAGTCCATGCGTGCGTGAGTAAATTACTATAACATTATTTATCTATCTGTTGTGGCCTATATGTGCATTGGGTCATGTCTCATTGGAAAATACGTGAAAAAGTAGATAATAACAGAATTATTCGTTATGTTTCAATTAAATTGTACAAGGGTGGAGGTGATCATGGCCTTCGACATCTTCTTGTATAATTAATTTGTACAAGGGTGTAAAGTTTTAATAAAGAAAAATTTGTTTCGAATTTCCTTATCAAACTGAACCGCTTCTAAAAGATACAATGCTTTGATACCTAACTAGAATGTCTGTTGGCAAAATTTGTTATATTATTTTCTGTCCAAAATAATTTCCGTTTTGGGACAACGAATTATGTTAACGACGAATCCATGATTCTAACTAATTGTTCCTTTAATGTATCATGCCAGGTGATGAAACATGGGATACATACGACAATGTTCATGATAGAAAGGCAATAGATAAACTTGTATTAATATAACATTCTATTGAGCTTAAAGTGGGGGAATATGAAAATTGAACACTGGCAAGCTTTACCAGTGAGCAAATCAAAGTACTAGAGATTGGCCCAGAAACTCTCTTGATTTAAATTCAATCGAGAATCTGTGGGCATTCTGCAAGGAAAGACTTCGTGGAATGGCCATACGAAGTACTAACATGTGCCCCAGGTCATGTTTCATTAGAAAACATACGAAAAAAGTAAATAATAACGGAATTATTTGTTTTGTTTTAATTAATTTGCACAAGGGTGTAGGTGATCATGGCCCTCCACATATTCCTGTATAATTAATTTGCACAAGGTTTTACTTTATTAACTTTATATTTTCTATTTCTCGTTCTGTCCAAATTCAAAGGTTCTTTTATGAAATAATAAAAATCAAAACAAAACTACGTGCTGTTTTTGCTCTTCTAGATTTTGTCAGAATAGACTTTGAGCAATGTCGCACCAGGCCAACAATATAGCCGAATCTGTGGTTAACCTGCAGATGTCATCTCTCGACCGCCGAATGCAGATTCATTTAAACAGATTATTGATTATCAGCGTGGGAAAGAACTTCATGCTTAGAGATAAGATATATAAACACATAACGCAACGACAAGAAGCAGTCTCTAGATATCGCAGACGAGGATGTAAGATCCACATTTCGGGCGAGGGGCGGGGCACACATGCAGACAGAGGTGCTCACTCAAGCTGACAGTTCTTGAAAATGTTCGAAGTTGAATGGAATGTTAAATATAAATTAGTAAAACTCTCCTGTTATCATTCGGGATATCGGTTTCACTTTATTTCACACGCCAATACTCGGGATAAATCAGTTAAATGAAATATATCCTCAACTAGAAGCATGGCCCGGCGTTGCCCGTGCTTGATTCAAAAATCGTACGACTCATACAGCACTGCACGCACTAACCTGTTTCTTCCCGCGCATAGCGTGACCTTAAATTAATCTGCATTTAGGAAATACCCAACCGGAAATCATTTTTAAGGGTTGACCGATTGTCGATTTGCAATCTGTTTTTTTTTGGTGGGGGGCGCTCAGAGTTGAAACTTCACATGGTGACTCGCAATGGCCTCCTCATAAATCCGATCAGTTTTCGCTAAAAACCGAGATGCGGTTCAGACGCAATCTGGGCGTATCGGCTTTTGGGTTTTATCGATTTTCCGCGCTGTTTAGGGATCCATGGTCATGAAACTTCTGGACAACACTTCTAAAGGTAGACTCTAAGAGGGTGTCAAATTTGGTTGAAATGCAATAATTCCTTCTGTAAGCAGATTTTTTCGATTATCGATTTTTTCGGAACCTGAGTCAGAACTGAAAAATCGGGCTGCGTCATGTCCTTAAGGCAGCCATTTGCAAACGTGGTGAAAACCGCATCGAAATCGGGTGAGAAATGCGGCCTGGGCGAGGTAACAACGCCCACGACAGACACACAGATTGACAACATGAGAAATACAGATAGTATAGATATAGATTAAAACAATACTTTATTTTTAATAAATCTTGATTGTCTGCGTAGTTATCTCCCTTTAGAACTTTATTGCTTGAAAGTTATTTCCCTTTGTGAATAAAAGATTTTTTTTCTTTTTATCTTGTACAGCTGACGAATTTGATGGAAATTTTGAGATGCACAGCACTGAGATAAAGAAGTTATACATGGTTGATGCCGGATTGACTTTTAACTCACCGTATCCATTAGTTTTGCGACCACAACGAGCTGTCAGTCTTATTTTGTCCTTTGATTTCAGTGCCCGACCGTCAGACGATCACCCTCCTTTCTATGTAAGTTAAAAAAAAAGATATGTTTCGAATTTAGCCTACAATAGATGGAATTTTTATTACAAAATGTTAACTGGCAATTGAAATTCTATCAGAATTGGTAATTGAATATCAAAATTGGTAAAATGTCTTTATACTCTTTAGAAATTTGACTAGTGAACTCTCTCTCTCTCGCTCGCTCTTTCTCCCTCTCTCGCTCGCTCTCTCTCTCGCTCTCTCCCTCTCTCTCTCGCTCTCTCTCCTCTCTCCGCTCGCCTCCTCTCTCTCTCCTCTCTCTCTCGCTCGCTCTCTCCCCTCTCTCTCTCTCTCTCGCTCTCTCTCTCTCGCTCTCTCTCTCGCTCTCTCTCGCTCGCTCTCTCTCTCCCTCTCTCTCTCTCGCTCGCTCTCTCTCTCGCTCTCTCCCTCGCTCGCTCTCTCACTCTCTCCTCTCTCGCTCTCTCCCTATCTCTCTCTCTCTCTCTCTCTCCGTATTCGTTGTGTATTTTAGAACATTCGAGGGTCTAAGGGTCAGGAGAATTAAAAATAATGAAACTTACACGGACCAGGAAAACTTTAAAAAAAAATTATAATTTCCAAATCGTCTCCTATGTGCCGTGCTCCTATACAACGTCGGAGATCATGGCTCTCCACACGTCCCTAGCCTTTGTAGCTCTAAGCCGGCCATAGATTTCTGAATGGCACACATAATTTCAGGAAAAAAAAAGTTTATTAAAATGTTTATTGGTTTCATTTCGTTCTGATTCGTTCCCTCACACATTCTCCAAATACTTAAACTAGGATTACATACAAGGTTTCTTGAATTTTTTTTAACTGTTTGATGATGAAAACTGATTCCTCATTTCAAACGATTGACGATTTTTACTATGGAAGATCATACGTGTAAAGTTCATTTCATTCTTTTTAAAGAAGATTTGCATATTCAAATAAATAAACTGAAGACAAATAACACGCAGCTATAGATTTGAAAGCTAAGCATTTGTAGCATTTCATTTAAGAATAACGAAACTTACATTCGAGTGTCTAAGGGTCAGGAGAAATAAAAAATAAAATAGTTTCAAAATTTTCTCTTGTGTGCTGTGTCCCTTTACGATCATGACTTCCACGTCTCCATAGAATTTTTAGCTCTCAATTTTCATAATAAGTAATTCATATAAAATACTATTTTTTTATTGTAACTTAATCATGTACAATAATGGATCCTATGCAATATAAGCGGAAAAATTCAACTAGAAAAATTGAAAATACATACAATGTATCTAAATGCAAATTAGAGACATGTCATAATAGACCATTCCATCTAAAATAAATCAATAATGTTTTGCGGCAATTTTTAACGTCAACTTGAGATCTTTCTTGTTAAAAAGTTGAAGAATTATAACACATTCAACATTATGGATAAAAAATAGTGAATTTTATATAGTGCTTTTTTTTATATAGTGCTTTTTTTTATATAGTGCTTTTTTATAGACTTAGCGTGTGCAAAACAAATTCACGCATTCGGACGAACTAAAAAATGATATGATATACCCCCTCCACTTCCATCTCAATTTTCA